CCCCAAGATAGTATAGGTAATTGTTAAGGCCCCTACATTACTATCATATGCCCCACCCCTGGCTACTGTAATCATTGGTCCATACAGTACTTCCCGCCAGCCTTACCTGAGGATCAGGCATGTGAGAACGGCAGCGCCAGAATCACTTCATAGATGTTGCTTGCATTCCTTGGCTTCCCATCAAGGGTTTAGGATTTAGGGTTTAGGGTTCAAGCTTAAGGGCTTTGGGGTGTAGGGTGTCAGGGTTTGAGGAACGGCAGAGCAACAGAACAACATCTCGCCTTGAGCAAACCATTGTCGTCTTTACCTTATCTTCCCATGAACATTCTCAACCCAGCTGCATCAGCTTCTTCCACTTCTTCAACACCAGCATGCTCGCCATCAGCAGCAATACCATCGTACGAACTAGTAAACTCTAAACCCCAAACGCTAAGCCGTCCCCGCGGTGCAGCACTACCCGCAACCTTGAACTCCAACCACCAACTTCCCCAAACTCGCCTGATGCAAAACCGTGATGATACCGAAACTACAGTAACACCATTAGCACGACAACCAGGCGCAAGAACGGACAACAAATAAGATCGCCTAAACCGTAAACCCTAAACCCTACTCAAACCCTGAACCCTAAACCCTAAACCCTAAACGATACTCAAAACGAGGCACAGAGTGTTGATGTAAGCTACCGCACGCGCCACAGGATGCCTGGCGCCTGCCGGTAGGGCAGAAAGCTTTGGATGGGTTTAGGGTTTAGGGTTTAGGGTTTAGGGAATTTTGAAACACATGTAATGTATGCATATATACATATATATATATATGCAGAAATACGCGCACACACACACACATGAATATATGCAGGTGTCTTATGGAAACCTACTAGGACGATCATATGACGGGATAAAGGTGCTGCTGTAGGTTTTCGGTCCTTGGTTCAGATTCAGGTTGGCCGGGCCCTATACACCATAAGCTCCTTCAACAGCCCTAACTCCATGCTAACCCTAAACCCTAAACCCTAAACCCCTAAACCCTAAACCCTAAACTCTAAGCCGCTTCAGGCCTCAAGCCTCCGTTGAGGTGGGGTCTTTGGGGGTGGGGTTTGGGGTTTTGGGATGGGGGGTTCAGGGTTTAGGTTTGGGGTTGGAGTTAGGGTTTAGGGTTTAGGTTTGGTGTGTAGGGTTTAGGTTTGGGGCTTATAGGGTTTGGGGTTTGGGTTTGGGGTTTAGGGCTTGGGGTTAGGGTTTAGGTTTGGGGTTTAGGGTTTGGCGTTAGGTTGGGGGTTTAAGGTTTGGCGTTAAGGCTTGGGGATTAAGGTTCAGGGTTTATAAGAGTTCAAGCTTTAGGGTTTACGGTCCACCAAAAGGTAGTACATTGTCTTGTTTACCGTTGTTTCTAGGTAGCAAGAGGGTCCATCGATACTATTCTGGAATTCGGTCCCCATAACCATAACAAGGATGGTCTTTTGGGACCTAATTCCATAATGGTAGTGCATATGGACCCTCTGAGTATGATGTTTTGGATGCGCCCTGAACCCTAAACCCTAAACCCAAAGCCGTATAGGCTCAGGTCTTAGAGTTCGTTGGGTCTGGTCAAAATGTCATTGTCCGTGTCAGGATTACGTTGACGACTTCTAGAGTTTAGGGTTTCTAGAGGGTCCATCTACACTAGTATTAAGGAATTAGGTTCCCAAAACCAAAATTAGGGTGGCCTTTAGCCCTTTAGCGGCCTAAGTCCTTAAACCCTAAACTCGAAGGTTAGAAGTATGGGTCCCTAATATGGACCCTTAGGCCTTTCTAGGGACCCTTAAGGGAACATCTAGGGCATGTAGTAGGTATATAAGGATCCCAGGCGTAAGGGCCCATACTAGGGGCCCATGGGTTCAACCTTAGATAAACCGTAATGGTAGCATATATGGACCCTCTGAGATTCAACTTTAGCTTACAACTAGCACTCCTCCGTTGGACAAAAATCAGGCAACCTATCTCAAGCCCCATAAAAGCTTGGGGTTTAGAGCAACCTATCCCTAAACCCTAAACCCTGAACCCTAAATTAAGCCCAAACCCCTAAACTCCAAACCCTAATCAACCCCAAACCCCTAAACTCTAAACCCTAATCAACCCCAAACCCCTAAAATCCGAAACCCTAAACCTTACCTGCGGCCCCAAAATCCTACCCTTTTAAGGAGTTATATATAGAAACCATAATAAGGAACCCTAAAAAGGTAGGGTTTTTTCGGCTACAGGTAGGGTTTAGGGGTTTGACCAAGCTGGCCAGAGGTTGCTGCCTGAAAGAAACGAAAGCCTCGGGTATGATGAGCTAAGCCCTTAGATCCTGCATATTATGGGTTTAGGGTTTAGGGTTTAGGGTTGAGGGTTCAGGGTTTAGGGTTTAGGGGTTTAGGGTTTGTTGGGGGCTGATCAAAGTCATAGGCCCTTTTGGGGTCTGTATTGTAGTATGTTCCTTTGTGTTCATGGGCCCAAAGGGGCCCAAAGGGGCCCACAATTTTGATTAATTTTAGGGTTTAGGGTTTAGGGTTTAGGGTTTTCTGAAGCTTGTCGTCCAAAGTCAGACAGAAGCAAGAGCCTCTGAATACCTAGAAGCCAAGACCTCTATGATGCTAACCCGAAATCCTAACCCCTACACTTCCCTTAGCACAACCCCACGCAATGCTCAACTCAAGCCCTAAACCCTAACTAAACAGAACTTAACTTTAACCCCAATCCTTCTCCAGTATACGGCCTTGCGGCTCGAAGTAGCCAGGGTTTCAGGTTTAAGGTTTAGGGTTTGAGGTTTAGGGTTTAAGGCCTTATGTACAGTAGAAGGTAGGATTAGGGGGGACCTTTGGGGATATAGACCCTCTCAACAAGGCCCCTTGATAAGAGTGCCACAAGTAGGGTTAAGAAGGGTCCCCTTTAAGGGCGCTCCCTAATACTACCTAGGATACATCTAGTATGGCCTGTGGGTCCACGAGACTTCAAACATACGTCACTGAAACTGTAGAAAGATCCCTTCAAGCACCCATGTGGGTAGTTGCCTAAATTAGGGGCCCTCTTTAAGTCCCCAAAATAGTACAGCACCCTTGCAACAGGGACCCTAAAAGCGACCCTAATTTAAAGAACTGCCCTTATCGTACGTAACCTTATAGAACTCCTTCTAGATCCCTTCAAGAAACCCTAGAGTTCCTAAACCCTAAACCCTAAACCCTAAACCCAAAACCCAAAACCCTAAACCCTAAACCCTAAACCCTAAACCCAAATTCCTAAAAGGGACCCTCATTTAGAGAACTGCCCAGTGGAATCCTCGGACCCCCAGAGAGATGCGACTTCCGCGCCCGCGCCTTGGCCAAAGGATGCAACGAGCTCGGCGTCGAAACCTTCGGAGTCGAGTTGCTCCTCCCGGAAGTTTTTTAGGGTTTAAGGTTTGGGTTTAGGGCTTAGGGTTTAGGGTTTAGGGTTTAGGGTTTAGGGTTTAGGGTTTAAGGTTTGGGGGCCAGGGGACGACACTTCCGTATTTAGAAGTTACTGCTTTACTTACACAGCTGCGGCTTAGGGTTTAGGGGTTCAAGAGTTTTATGAGTTGTTTTGTTTCATTCCGGGTGTAGATTCGGATCTGGAATCGCAAGCCCTCCCGGTTTCGTAGCAAACCTCCAAGATTGAAAACCCTAAAGCCCGAAACCTGCAACCCTAAACCAGATGATACAGCCTGCTAAACCCTGTAGAAAGAGTCTATGCCCTTATGCCTTGAAACCTCTTCAGCTTGTGTAAGTGCGGGTTACACAATAACTTAAGTACTGCACTCTCTGGGAGAGAGCCCAAAGGTATAGTTACGCACACAGGCCGCCGGTCCTGCGCGGACTTGGCTTCGTCCAACACCTCCTGGATAGAAGCTCCGTGGTGCTTTAACAAGGGACCAAGTGAGGCTTCTTATCCAGAGGGTCCATATATACACTAAGGTTACGGAACTATAGGTCCCAAAAAGACCATCCTTATTATGGTTTTGGGGACCCAATTCCATAATGCTAGTTTATATGGACCCTCAGGGTTAAACAGTTCTATAAGACTTCCAAGCAGAATTAGAATAAATTTCGTAGGGAGCCCGAGCCTGTGCGGGGTTTAGGATTTAGGGTTTAGGGATTTAGGGTTTAGGGTTTAGGGGTTCTTAGTTGTACCATGCACCTAACTCCCTTCTACCTTTGTCCGATTGGCCTCAATAGTATGCATGGCCTCACTACAGACAGGAGTTCTTGTAAAGCTCCGTCCCCACCTTAATTAACCCGAAATAACCTACCTTTTAAAGGACTTATGTACAGAAATCATAGTACGGAGCCCTAAAAAGGCAGGTTCTTTAGGGGTTTAGGGGTTTTGGGTTTTAGGGTTTAGGGTTTGAGGGTTTAGGGTTTAGGGTTTCGGGTGGCGGGTTTCATGATGATCGGAACAGCATGCAGGCTGAACTGGCCATTCTCGTTGCCTTCTTTGGAGGCCGCAACAGACAAGTACGTGAGAACGTGCGAAGCGAGCTGACGCCCGCCAAGCCAAAGGTTGTTGTCTGAGTTGGTGCCGATCGACCCGTGCGGGACCGAGAACAGAAACAAATCGTCCTTGGCGGCGACCTTGGCACGGCTGTCAGCGCCATCGCCGAGGATCCAATTATGTCTCAGCGTCCACGGCACGTTCCGGTGTTCGCTGGGAGCGCCAGCAGATCCGTTGCGCGAAGAAGCGTCCGACTGACACATAGTAGGTCGCCTGGGCGAGGCTTGCCAGGTTCACCAGAGGAACGACCGAGTCGAACCAAGGCGCCGTGGCTCTCTGTTCGAGAAATTCGTTCTCGGACGTGTGGCAAAACGCGAAATCACGCTCGTCCGTGATGACGGACATGGATGCTTCTCGGTCTGCATCCGAATGTATCTTGTCTTCCCGAACCCTGCTCTGTCCGTGCTACTGTGAGGGCCTTACCAATTAGAATAGGATTTTGGGGGTTCCTTATTATGCTTCTAGTATGATATATCCCCAAGTCGTATTCTGATTCCCTATATTACCTCTTGCTGCTGAGCTGTTCGCGCAATCATTCAGTCTGCGAGGCTTCCCCACTGCAAAAATCAGCACCTCATTTCCTGATGCTTCCGATATGGGTAGTTCTCTAAGTTAGGGTCCCTTTAGGATCTTTTTATAACGGGACCTAGAAACGGACCTTAATATACAGGACTGTCCCCGCTGCTCCATGCCAGTGAACTCTGAGCACGAGAATACGACTACAGGCATACAAGCCGTTGATGAACACCTTAAACCCTAAACCCATGAACGTGCTGCTCACCCAATCCTGCCTGCCCAACCTCCGTGAACACTTCGACTAATCTAGAGGCCCTAATAATTAGAGCAGGGTCTTGAACTAATTGAACTACTTGCAGGAAACCCTGAACCCGAAGAACGCCCAAACCTGATGCACTGCAACACGCTGTCCATCAAGCGCTCGGTTGTGCGAACCTGAGGCATGTGGGCTGAGCTTGAAGGTCTAAACCCTAAACCCTAAGCCCGAAACCCTAAACCCAAACCCTGAACCCTAAACGCTAGACCCTAAACCCCAAGCCCTAAACCCTAAATGCTAGACCCTAAAAGGCGTTGAGGGCGGGTCTTGGAGTCGTGGAGCTCGCGGCTTTTATGGGTTTAGGGTCTAATATAGGGGCCTTAATA